GACGAACTACCCGAACAGGGTGGGTAAACTTTGGTACGAGGCAAATTTTCGCACCATATGTGCGAAGTGACCTCGTTAACGGCGGACGGGCTTAGGGGGTCACGACACCACCCAGACTTCATTGTTGATTAGGAAAACGCACTTAATAGAGGAGACAAATCATTCATACCATTAGGTAAAAAATACTCATTTATTACACAAATTCATAAACATAATGGTTCCGATGTTCCCTCTCTATGTGTGACGACTTCCTCTAAAGCTTGGGAAGCAAGGGGTGCAATACTCGCGTAAAAGAAGAGTGATGGCATTGGGGAACTTGTCGAGGTGCAGCAGGGGTGCTGGGAGGAATGTGCAGCATGAGCAATGTAGTAGGATGGTGTAGGGCAGGTGAAGGGGTGAAACAGCTAGCAGGATCTTGAGCAACACTGTAGGGAGGTGCCACGCCAGAGGGAAAAGCTTGGTCGACGTAAAGTTGGGATACCGGTACGAAAAAGGAAGTTTGTGGAGTAAAATTAACATGGAAGGGTGTTGCTGGGGTGAAAACTGTGAGGGGCCAAATGAAAGGATGAAAGATCTGAAACCTCAGAGAAACTGGAAGGCGCACTGGAAGACATCACAACACAACGAAGCTAACTGGTGTAAAAGTCTGCATCTATGCTAGCCTAAATACCTGCCATCATCTCTCCTCGAGGTTTCTTTTTACCAGGGGTCCTGCGAAGTGGTATGGGGGGGGGGGGGGTAGCCTGAGGCCCTGAAAAGTCACAGAGGGAGCACATGAAGGGCATATCTCTAGCTGACTTGCTTGAGGGGGGACAGTAACGTTTGGCTAGAGACGTGAGGCCTACATCGTAAGCATGCGGATCTCTTAATTCCATCCGCTCCTGTTCGCTTAGTTTTACAGCAGAGGTGTTCAGGTGTAGTTTTGTACTTTCTGATACCTTGCTCAAGCTTTTCAGTTATACCGAATTTGATAGCTGAATCGGTGATGTACGAGTCATTTAGTTTTTTTCTTTACCAGATTAGTCCCCCGTCAACCGCCGGGACCTTCCTTTCCTGCGCAAGCTTTCTATCCTCCGCTATGGTCCCTTCCTCCTGTGACACCAACACCTCCTGGAAGTGACGCGTATGCAACACAATGGTGTTTCATACAGTAGAAGGGACACAATCATGATATGACGGTAGATTTTTCGCTTCCCTTCCTCATCCTCCCTTCCTCTCTCCACTGCCCTCCAGCTGCCACTGCAGCACCATGTGGAATGAACGGAAGTGTGCTAAGCAGGTGTTTATATAGCCCTAAGAGTGTTATCACAACTATCCTGCTACAAAATAATGCCAAAAATGTCACAATGGAAAGTAGAAGTGCCCGCTCCCAAACGGGTTTGATCCCCGCAAATGCTTTATCCTTTATCTTTTTGGGATCTGCTACAAAACATTGATATCTCAAATCCTGTAAGCTACCCGATTTGTTAGCGGTTTGTTTATCCCATGAGCTTCCTTCTCACTCACTTCATTTTGCGGACGGACACACATACATACATACACACACATACAGATACACAAACCGACACACAAAGTTAGCGCTTTATAATATAGAGATGATTTAGATTTTCGATATCTTCCCTTTCAAATACATATTCATTATTCATGTTGTTTTTTTTGTATGGTTCTCCAATTTGTCTGCCATTTCTACGGGTCTAGCACACATGTTTAGGTGGCGTTGTGACCCCTAGGCCGTCTCCCTCAATGAGGTCACTTCGCAGTTATCCGCGGAGGTTCTTAATTAGTGTGGAATGAATCGTACCATTTTCTACTTGACCATGACGACATGCGCACAGTCGATGCTGCGCTTCTGTGGCGAATGGGACTTTGGTCTTGTTTAGATTTCAAAACTGTGTGAATGCAGTCTTATCCGAAAACTGTGCACCGGTTATCAGTAGTGAATTATTGGAAGAGGTTATGACTGTGATAAAAATGAACAAAAAGTGCTGAGGCACACGCACAAGGGGCTGTCGTCAATGTGTTAACCCTTTGACGACAATGCGGATTTGCACGTGGGTCGTGGGACCACGCCTCTTTTTGGCGCGGCCAACTCTCGCACAAAATGGGGCAAAATTGTCTCTAAAAGCAATTTTTCTATCAAAATTTTGACTATGACAATAAATAAAATATGACTGCAGTTTAAGCTTGTAGTTGATCAGTATTGTTCTAGATATAAGAGAAGTGGAAGTTCTGGAAAGAAATCTTGGATTTCAAAGGGATGGTGTTTGAAACTCCAGAAATTCAAATGTACAGTAGAATTTTGATATAGTTCAAACTCCCCTTGTGTCTTAAGACTGTGAAAAGACGTAGAGGTCCTGATCTGTAATTCACCTTAAGCTTAATAATGTAAAACACTAATTAATACATCGCCGAGCGAAGTGCCATATCCTAAAATTTCATATAAATTAGCTAGTAACAAACATTTCTGCAAAATATGCTAAACATAGGCGTAACGGAGCTTGCTTATAATTACTGATATGTTGAAAATGTTTTAAATGGGTAAAGAAGAAAATTTTAGGGTGGCACCCACCATTGGGTGCCATTGTCGCCAAAGGGTTAATCACAAGCTTTGTTGTGAAGGATACAGCCGTGAGGAGGAAACCAGTAGGGGGACGTTTAGTTCTCCTCATACAAGTCAAAGGAGCTGCGCGATGACTGAATGCATCGTAATAGACTTATGCTTACACTTCGGCTTATGCACAAGCTTTCTAAGGGTCAGCCCTGGGCTTAATCTTAGGCTTGCTGCGAGCAAATCAGAGGTGCTTCAATCAGGATGATCTCATTTGATCAAGAGAATCAATATACACCCAAAAGAAAGATACCTCAGAGGCTTTCTCCTCAACTCGTGGTGGATGATGCTTGATTTCAGTTTCGGCCTTCTTCCGAGGCAAATATAGTAGTAGCTCCTTGTCCGTTTTTGTGCGTCTCAAAGGTGGTTCTACTCGATCTAACACTTCTCTTTGAGCTGCTACGGTTGTGGCTGAAAGGACAGAATTAAAACTCCCGCTCAAGGCGACAGACGAACAGGTGCAGATTTCGGAGGGAGGGTCACGAGTCAACTCATACATTAGTGTTATATATTATATAGTGTTATTTATTATTATTGCAACTTTAGCCTCACTGGTAAATACGTCATCAAAAGTCTTCATTAGCGTCTCAAGCGGTGAAAAAAGCGAAAGTGGTAGCTCGAGCTCACCTTCAACAGTAATGTTCGGCGACAAGGACGTTGTCTTGTTGTTGTCATGTGCACGCGTGTTGTTCAGAGCACTAAGCCTTGTTTCCGCCAGTTTCCTCACCAGTTCTTCACGGACTACCTGCGCAAAGTTCTAATTATCACTATGAACTATGAGGCATTATCTGTTTAGCTATTTGATTTCTGATCAGCCAACGCCATAGACAGCAATGAGCCAAGTTCAACCATCGTGTAATATTTTGCTAATCTCCTTTATGACTTTACCCCAAATTCACTTCAAATTCATTCGGGGTTACGAATCGAATTTATAACACGATCCTGCTCGACATCTTATCTAAATGGAAAATGTGTACAGGGTGGCTACTAAATATTGGCGCATGGATTGTTGACCATATTTTTAAAACGAGAAGCTTTTACATCTTCAGAAGGTTTATCTTTATATACCTTATAACATGGCAGTACATTGCTAAAGAAAGTGCTCGAGATGGCCTCCTTTGGTAGCGATACAGGCTTCAAGTCTCTTCTCAACTGACATCACTGTGGGCCGCAAGTAGCTGACGTCAAGCTCCTTCCACGCCTCCTCCAAGGAAGCCTTCAGGGAGTCCAAACTTCGACGTTGCTCAGAAGGCATCTTCTGCTTCAAGAAGCCCCACACCGCCAAATCAATTGGTTCAAATCGGGCGACTTAGATGGCCAAACATTTTGTGCTCGTGGAAAATGCTTTGTAGCTTGGAAAATGACGGTCGCAGTTCT